GATATGTTTTTTTTTTATAACCGCATCTAAGCTCGGAGCCAACCTGACATCTGCTCCTGAGGATATCACCCATTATCTTTCAGCGCTCGTTAAATGCTTGTCGCGATGATGAAAATGGGACATTGGTTTCAGGGAGAGAGAAAAAAAATTGTACAGCCATTTATGTTTAATGCACCTGACAAGCTTCAGATGGGCCATAGAACCTGGTCTGAACATCATGTATTATGGGATTTTGTGTGCGCTGGAAACACACTGTTGGCACCGGTGCCTGCAAGGTATTTGAACTGGGAGATTTCTCGTTTATATGCAGTTTATTTCTTGCAACGAGAGGCAGATCTAAATTATCTGGGTTCATCCCCACGAGATGGCAAATCAAACACAGGACTTTTTTTTTAAGATGACATGTGAACCCAGTCATGAGTGAGTCAGTATGTTGAAAACACAGTTGCATCGGGCTGCGAATCCCAAGTCTATCGCTTATCTTCATGGACCCTCAAACGAACAATTAAAAAAAATCGCAGACAAATCCACTTAATCTTCGTGACCCAGATGAAATCTGCTTATTCGTTTTTGATCAGCCATCAGCCATTCGTTTTTCCCTTCTGCTCAGGCCCAGAAAAGTTTGAATTTGATTTTGCAAACGAGTAAACGACAATAGAGCCGTACGTGACAGTATTGGCCCCCCGGGGGGGGGGGGGGGGAGGCAGACGTTCCCACTGATGAGTTCTCCGTGTGATAAAACGGCAAGGTAATTGCCAACCCCGAGTGATTTTCAAAACAAGAAGCAATGAGGTGGCAGGCATTGTTGCAGGCTGAGTAATGTTGTGGCCCGTCAGCGGCCTGTGCAGATTGTAGCTGATTCCGACGACGAGGAGGCTGGTGTGGTACTGCGCCAGCAGCCTGTGCAGCTGGCACTCGAGTCGGACAATGAGGAGGCTGGAGAAGATGTGGTGCCAGAGGCTGGGATTCAGCCAGGGCCTTCAGAACCTCCAGAAGCTCCTTTAAGTGAAGAGGACGAAGAGGAGGAGCCTCTTCTCAATGCACGGGCAGGCAGAGCTGCCAAAAGGCAGGAGTGTCTCCTCAGGAGGAGGTCTCCTCGAGAGTAAGGCTTGGGGCTAATTAGCCTATTTAAGGAGGAATGCCAACTGAAGCAATTTATAGGGAACAACTTTAGTTCACTCTCCTTCGTGTCTGCAAAATTGCTTCTGGGCTTTCTGCCAACTCTAGTAAGACTGTGATTACCTTATCTTAAGAATTCTGGTAGGCTGTTAAGACAGTTCATTAACAGCCTTCGAATGATAAAGACTAAGTTATTTGAGTAAAATAAGATTTGTATAGAGTTTGTGTGTGCTGCGTTCTTTGGGGTCCGTAGCTGGGGCAGAACAAGTAAGGAGTCCACTGAGTGGTTTCCAAGTAATTCAAATGCCATCGCTGTCGTTAGTAAAGAAGCTCAGTGCCGGAGGAGAATGTGACAAGGACTAGGACCGTGATGGCGAACCTATGGCACGCAGAGCCAGGGGTGAAATGCTACCAGTTCGCTCCGGTTCAGGCAAACTGGTAGTGATAAAAACTACCAGTTCGGGCAAACCAGTAGTAAAAAAAAGCTACGATCCGACAATCAGCAGGATTTCCTGCTTTCTAGCAAAGCTAAACCGTGCGGCACAGCTGATCGTAGCTTTTTTTAACTACCGAACTGGTAGCTTTTTAAACGCGCAGCGCATGTTTGGTGCGCACTGCGCATGCACATGCAGTACGTGTTTGGTGTGTATGTGCATGTGCAGCACACGCTTGGGGCGCAGTGCGCAGCCAGCAAACCAGTAGCAAACCAGTTCAGATTTCACCACTGCGCAGAGCCCTCTCTGTGGGCACGTTCGCCGTCGCCAGCTGCTCTTCTGGTTTCTGTTTCCAGGCCTTTTCTGGGCCGTTTTTTGGGCCATTTTCAGGCTGTTTTTCGGGCTGTTTTGGAGGCATTTTCAAGTTGTTCTCAGGCCAAAAATGGCCCCAAAACAGCCCCAAAACAGGCATGCATACGCCGGCCAGCTGGTCTTTGGATTTCCAGCACTCCGGCGTGCACATATGCATGTACATGCATGCACATTCCGGTTTGGGCACCCAGTGCCGAAAAGCCCGGCGCCATCACTGGACTAGGATCTTGGGCTACCAAGTAAAATCCAGAGAAACAGCAGTCAACCGGTGAAGACAAAATGGATCTCAGGAGAACACTGGGCTGATTTAGACATGATAGCTTCATATTTTATGAAGGTTCTACATTTAGGCAAGAAAAACAAAATGCACAGGTACAGTATAGGTCCATGATGGCGAACCTATGGCACGCGTGCCACAGGTGGCACACAGAGCCATGTCGCCTGGCACGCCAACTTAGCTCCGGGAGACTCTGGAGGCTGGGGACAGCAAAAAACATCACTTCCTGTCCAACTGGAAGTTGGGAAATGGGCCGTTTCAGGCCTCCGAGGGAGTGGGGAAGGCTGTTTTCGCCCTCCCCAGATGCATAGAGAGGATCTGAGCCAGGGGAGAAAGAAAAACGGGTCATCACATGCCAAGAGCCGGGGGGGATCACGCGTGCATGCATGGGGCGGGGCACATAGAAATATGGGAGTGGCCACGCGTGCGTGCAAACCTCCCCTGCCCCCCCCCACTCATGGCACGTGATGGCAAAAAGGTTAGCCATCTCTGGTATACGTGGTACCTCGCTCAACAGTAGTAACTGTCATAAGGAACTTGGAGTCCTAGTGGGCTCCAAGATCCAGCCGTGTGCAGCAGCGGCCAAAAAAGCCAACCCAGTTCTAGGCTGCATCAACAGAGGGATAGAATCAAGATCACGTGAAGTGTTAATACCACTTTATAAGGCCTTGGTAAGGCCTCACTTGGAATACTGCATTCGGTTTTGGTCGCCACAATGTAAAAAAGATGTAGAGACTCTAGAAAGAGTGCAGAGAAGAGCCACAAAGATGATTAGGGGACTGGAGGCTAAAACATATGAAGAACGGTTCCAGGAATTTGGATGTCTAGTTTAATGAAAAGAAGGACTAGGGGAGACATGATAGCAGTGTTCCAATATCTGAGGGGCTGCCCCAAAGAGGGAGTCAAGCTTTTTGTTCTTTTTACTAAGGCAAACATAGGGACGCGGTGGCTCAGTGGTTCAGACACTGAGCTTGTTGATGGAAAGGTCGGCTCCTTTGGCGTTGAGCCATGCCGGCCACATGACCACAGAGATGTCTTCAGACAAGCGCTGGCTCTTCGGCTTTGAAACAGAGATGAGCACCGCCCCCTAGAGTCAGGAACGACTAGCACATATGTGCGAGGGGAATCTTTACCTTTAAGAACAACCAATTAAAGCCAGATTCAAAATATTTGCTTAGGGAGCAGAGACGCGCTTCACGAATGTCCTGCTAAATGTGGAAGAAATGTGAAATTGACTGTGAAACCAGAATTCACGGAATGCGATGTAAAAGCATCTCTATTAACGGGGTGATTTTCAAGGGTGGTGAATAAGCCATAAGGGAAAACAAAACATTTAGAGTATTTATCTTCCGGTCGGATTTAGAAATGCAATAAAAGGGTGGAAATGTCCTCATTCGTGTATTTAAGGCAAGGAGCAACCGTTTTAAGGTTCCAGGCACCATTCTTTCATTCATTCAGGGCATACAAAACTTTTGCCAGACCAATTCTCGAATACAGTTCATCTGCCTGGAACCCGCATTGTATATCGGACATTAATACAATTGAGCGAGTCCAGAGGTATTTCACGAGAAGAGTCCTCCACGCCTTGGACAACCTGAACTATGCCGCCTTCGGTCTGACCTAAGCGTAGAACACAAAATTGTCTGCTACAACGTCCTACTTGTCAACTTCTTCAGCTTCAACCGCAATAATACATGGGCAAACAATCGATACAAACTCAAGGTAAACCGCTCCAAACTCGATTGCAGAAAATACGACTTCAGCAACAGAGTGGTCAATGCCTGGAATGCACTACCTGACTCTGTTGTTACATCCTCAACTCCCCAAAACTTTAACCTTAAAACTATCTACCGTGGACCTCACCCCATTTCTAAGAGGTCCGTAAAGGGGGCGTGCATAAGCGCACCAGCGTGCCTACCGTCCCTGTCCTACTGTTGAATACCATTTATTTGTACTCATTTCTTATGTATATACTATACTTATATGTTTATCTGTTATGTTCATACTTATACTTGTTTTCCCATACATGCTTGACAAACTAAGTAAATTAAAATAAATAAATAAATAAATTCGCTACTGCTGGCATTGCCCACACATTAATAAATAATAAATAAATAAATAACTTTATTGTCATTGTACGTGTATACAGTATACCCATACAACGAAATTCACTTAACACCCAAAGACCAGGTCCAACATACATAACAATCCCCAAACACACTCCCACCCACAATTCTCCACCCCTAAATTACCCAAACATCCACACAACAGACCAAGTCATGTTGTCCAACAGCTCACTGATGGTGGCCCTTGAGTTCATTGTTGAGTGCGATTATAGTTCTGGGATAAAAACTATTCAGAAGACGTGCGGTCCGAGTTTTAATTGTTCTGTGTCTTCTGCCAGAAGGCAACAGTCCAAAAAGATGGTAAACAGGATGGGAAGAGTCTCTGAGAACGTTATGCAACTTTCTCAAACAGCGAGATTCGAAGATGTCGTCCAGGGCTGGTAGCTGGAGTCCTGATGATATTCTGAGCAGTTTTAATGATTCTCTGTAGAGCGTTTTTGTCCGCTACAGAGCTGCTCCCATACCATGCAAGAATGCCATTATATTCAGAGAGAATGTAAATATTTCTTCCCTCCTTCTCTCTTTGTTTCTCCAGCTGCAGGAGAGGTGCCTGGATTTTTTGATACGCTGATGGACATTGCACAAGAGCGGGGAAAGACCCAGCTGATGAAACACAATAGCTATTGCCAAACACAATTCCTCCCTCCCCTCTCAACCCACAAAATTCTGTACTTCCTTGTACCTTCCCCATTTAATCTCACTTGCTTCACTCACAAGTGCTTTCTTTCTTTCTTTTTTCTTTTTTTGGTCAACTTGCTGTATCTCAGAACAAGCATAGAAGCTAAAAGACTTTAGGTGTGTCTTCCTTTAAGGGAAAGAAGAGAGGGGAGGCCGAGAACACACCGAGGAGAACCCTTCCCAACTTCCGCCTGTTTGAGAGAAACGTAAGACCAGAGTTCAAAATTCAGGCAAACATCTCTGAACCAACACAGGAAAACCCTCCACAACAACATAAATAGGCAAGAGAAAACTATTGACTGCAAAACCCGGGTGGAAATACAGGAACTCTGCTGTGATGAGGTATGATCTACGCATGGTTGGAATTAAAACGGGGGGGACTCGATTTAAACTTATTTTAACACTTTTGACCAGCAAAATCTCACTGATCCTTGTAAAAAATGTAGGCTGATGTAGGCAGCAATGAGATAAACGATCTCTTCTACAACACATTGAGACACAGATATAACTTGGTCTCCGCTTTATAAGGCCTTGGTAAGGCCACACTTGGAATGCTGCGTCCAGTTTTGGTCGCCACGGTGTAAAAAAGAATGTGGAGACTCTAGAAAGAGTGCAGAGAAGAGCAACAAAGAGGATTAGGGGACTGGAGGCTAAAACATAGGAAGAATGGTTGCAGGAACTGGGTGTGTCTAGTTTAATGAAAAGAAGGACTAGGGGAGACATGATAGCAGTCTTCCAATATCTCAGGGGCTGCCCCAAAGAAGAGGGAGTCAAGCTGTTCTCCAAAGAACCTGAGGGCAGGACAAGAAGCAACAGGTGGAAACTAATCAAGGAGAGAATCAACCTAGAACTAAGGAGGAATTTCCTGAGAGTTAGAACAATTAACCAGTGGAACAACTTGCCTCCAGAAGTTGTAAATGGTCCAACACTGGAAGTTTTTAAGAAGATATTGGATAACCCTTTGTCTGAAGTGGTATAGGGTTTCCTGCCTAGGCAGGGGGTTGGACTAGAAGACCTCCAAGGTCCCTTCCAACCTATTCTATTCTATTCTATTCCATTCCAGGAAGAACCTAGTTTTGGTCTCATTTGGTGGGAAAGAGAACAAATTTCTCTCCGATGTAATGATTTCTACAAATATCTATGGAACTGCCATTACTTTGTTTTAATGGGGAAATGCTTTCGTAATTCAATTCCTTTGGACAATGCATGGCTTGCTGTGAGGTTGCTCTGTGCTTGTCAAATTGTTCATCTGTCCATGTGGTTTTTTTAAACACACACCCCCCTTTTGCTACTGCAGACCTATTGAATTTCCGGAGACAGTATGTCCTCCATCAACGTGCATGACTTTAGTAGGCTGTTTGATAAATTAATGGAGAAGAACAGGGTCACGTCCTGCTTCCGTGAGGGATTCTTATTCGGGGATGGAAGGAGACAAGATACCATATTAAATCAGTATTTAATTTGATCAGCGGTGGCTTTTCCTCTGGTGTTCTTACTGTTTAATGAAGTGTAGTGGGCTTTCTTAAATTCAGCTTCGATATGGCGACGACAGTAATGACAAATTGGCAATTCTGGCTCGGACAGATAAGAATTGAAGTTCCTACGGTCTACGGGGTAGTCCACAGATTTCAATCAATCAATGCGCGCCTTGTTTTAGTCACGGAATTGAAAGCGTTTTTCTGTCGGACTCTGTAGCTTTGACAGAATATTTTTAAAAGGGTAATGACTGCCAGCCAGGCTCAGAAATCTGAAGAGAAAGGAAAGGAGATGAGGAAGGAAGAGAAAATGCCAGTCAGCATGAGTGAGTGAAGGATCAGTCAGCTGGAGAGGTTTTTTTGTTTGTGTAACTTTCCCTATTTCCTCTGGCACAGATTCTGCTTCTTCCTCCTCATTTTGTGGCCTGGGATACTTGGCGACGTTCTTCGGCTAGACAAAATGTATGGGAGGATCGCCTCGCCGGACTTCCCCAACGTCTATCCTAACAGCAAGGAGAGGATATGGAATATCACTCTGCCGCAGGGCTATGTCGTCCGCATCTATTTCACTCACTTCAACCTGGAGCTGTCTTACCAGTGCGAATACGACTATGTCAAAGTACGTCCAACTGCCATGTAGCATGGCTTCGTGCGCATGTTGAGATTTATACTAGCTAACGCCTTAGAACCCTGATGGTGAACCTATGGCACGGGTGCCACAGGTGGTACATGGAGTCATATCTGTGGGCACACGAGCATTGCCCTAGCTCAGCTCCAATGGGCATGCATGTGCCGGCCAGCTCATTTTCGGGTCTTCCGGGCCTACCGGAAGTCGGGAAACAGGCTGTTTCCGGCCTCCGGAGGGCCTCCAGGGGGGGTGGGGAAGGCCCGTTTTTTGCTCTCCCCAGGCTCCAGAGGTTTTCTAGGAGCCTGGAGAGGGTGAAAATGGCCTTCCCCACCCCTCCGGAGGCCAGAAACAGCCTGTTTGTCAACTTTTGGTGGGATCGGAAGGCCCGTTTTTTGCTCTCCCCAGGCTCCAGATGCTTTCTAGGAGCCTGGGAAGGGCGAAAACAGCCTTCCCCAGCCCCTGGAGGCCCTCCATAGGGCAAAAAATGGGCCCACCGGGTCTACCATGCCATCGTGCGCCAAAAGCGTGGGGAGTGTGGGGGTGGTGGTGTCACATGCACATGCATGGGGGTGGGGCCCATTGAATTATGGGTATAGGCATGTGTGCACACAAACCCCCCATGCTCCCCACGCTTTTGGCACGCAACGGCAAAAAGGTTAGCCATCACTGCCCTAGAAGATAGGCTCAAGATCCAGATGGATCTTGAAGGACTTGAACACTGGGCCCTATCTAACAAAATGGAATTCAATGTAGAGAAAAGTAAAGTCCTACACTTAGGTAAGAAAAACCAAAAGCAGACATATAAACTGGGGGAAACCAGGCGTAATAGCAGTAAGTGTGAGAGGGATCCCGGAGTCTTAGTGGACATCCAATTAAATATGAGTGAAGAGTGTGCAGCGGCAGCCAAAAAAGCCAACGCAATCCTAAACTGCATTAACAGAGGGATACAATCAAGATCAAGTGAGATACTAATACCACTCTATAAAGCCTTAGTAAGACCACACCTAGAGTATTGCATCCAGTTTTGGTCACCACACTATAAAAAAGATGTTGAGACTCTAGAAAAAGTGCAGAGAAGAGCAACCAGGATGATGAGGGGACTGGAGGCTAAAACATACAACGAACGGTTGCAGGAACTGGGCATGGCTGGTCTAGTGAAGAGAAGGACCAGGGGAGACATGATAGCAGTCTTCCAATATTTGAGGGGCTGCCACAGAGAGGAGGGGGCCAAGCTATTTTCCAAAGCACCCGAAGGCCAGACAAGGAACAATGGATAGAAACTGACCAAGGAGAGATTCAACGTGGAAATGAGGAGGAACTTTCTGACAGTGAGAACAATCAATCAACCCATGGAACAGAAGTTGCCTTCGGAAGTTGTGGGAGCTTCATCACTAGAGACTTTCAAGAAAAGATTGGATTGCCATTTGTCAGAAATGGTGTAGGGTCTCCTTCTTGAGGGGGGGGTTGGACTAGATGACCTATAAGGTCCCTTCCAACTCTGTTAATCTGTTAAGAGTGTAGACCCACACATGAGAGCAATTTTGGTACGAGTGAGCAAGCAACCTGACCCCTTGTTTCATATTTGCTTAGCTCCGAAAAAGATGAAACGAGATTCTCTTGCTCAGCCTTCCGTCCATCCGAGGTCGGTAAAATGAGGACCCAGACTGTTGGGGGAAATAGGCTGACTCTGTAAACCGCTTAGAGAGGGCTGTAAAAGGACCATGAAGCGGTATATAAATTTTAACTGCTATTCCATCCTTCCTTCCTAGTGGTTAGAATGCAGTATTGCAGGCTAATTCTGCCCACTGCCAGCAGTTCGATCCTGACTGACTGGCTCAAGATTGACTCAGCCTTCCCTCCTTCCGAGGTGGGTAAAACGAGGACCCAAATTGTTGGGAGGCAATGGGCTGACTCTGTAAACCGCTTAGACAGGGCTGTAAAGCACTGCGAAGTGATATATAAGTCTAACTGCTATTGCTATTGCTTAGGGAGACCGCGTGTCTCCTATCAGGTCCCCGCAGAAACTCGGGGCGGGGGAAAAGATGCACAACTCAACGGCAGAGCTCATTGTGTGTTTGCTTTACAGCTGAACTCAGGAGGTAAGGTCGTGGCCACACTCTGCGGGCAAGAGAGCACTGACACCGAGGAGGCCCCCGGGAAAAAGATATACCGCTCCGTTGATAACAATTTAGCGGTGACTTTCAGATCGGATTACTCCAACGAGAAACAGTTCACTGGCTTTGAGGCCTTCTACGCTGCTGAAGGTGAGAGGAGGAGTGAAATAGTTAGAGGAGAATCTGTGTTTTGATGACTCCAGGGGAAGAAAGTTGGCAACGTTACGGGAAAGGGATCTGCCCGAGACCCCATTGATGGAGAGGAAGTACTGAGTCCAATGGGCCCCGGTCTGATATGATCAGCGGTGGGTTCTACTTACCTTTACTACCCGTTTGCAACGGGGCCGCGCGCTCGCGCTCGCTTCTCTCTCTCTCTCGTGCACGCTCTTCTGCGCATACAGAGAAGCGTTCTGATGACATCGGGGTTGGTGGGTGGAGCCTCCCACCGGTTTTATTACTGGTTCTATAGAACCGGCGCGAATCGGGAGCAACCCACCACTGGATATGATCATAGGGTGCCATAATCAGCACATATTTAGTCAGCAGAAGGTTCAATCTCTGGCAACTCCTGGAAACCATTCTTGAGGCAAATCTAGAATTGCTGCCCCTTGCCACGATCAATAATGTAAGTTTAGAAATAGATACGAGGGGGCAAAATAGGGTTTTTAATCTAGCTTTGTGGGGCTTTCTTTTCACGTAGAATGTGCTTCAGAAGTTACGGTATACAGTCGTGGCCAAAATTGTGGAAACCTTTTGGGAAAAGTGTATTTTCTAAAACTTTGTTAATAACACCACTTTTTTTATTTTTTTCGGAGTAGTACCGAAAAATTATATATCAATGGAAAGATAATTTAATCAAGAATGTAATGCAATGACTTTTACGAAGGATTTGCTATTAGAATAGCAGCGACAGTATAAAGAAGAAAAGCGAAAGACGTAGAAAAAAACGAGATATATAAAAATGATCATCACAGAAAACACGAGATTTACAAAAATGATCACCAGGTCAGTTAATCCTGAGTTGGGTAACCTTTAGCATGAATGACGGCCTTACAATGTCTTCCCTGCAACAGTTCTGCAGCTGTTATCATGTGAAACCAAGATTGAACGATGGCTTCTATTAACTGGGTTTTATTGTTGGGTCGCTTCTGACTAACCAGTTTCTTTAGTCGGCTCCATAGATTTTCAATTGGGTGAAGATCTGGGCTATTCCCAGGCCATTCCAGCAGTGGAATAGGATTATCTTGAAACTCAAAAAAAAAAAAAAACGTGGTGTTATTAGCCATCAAGCCTCAAAAATACACTTTTCCCAAAAGGCTTCCACAATTTTGGACAACTACTGTTGTAGTTTAGTGCGTATTCTCTAAATCAAAACAGAGGGAAATCACAGGGATCGTACTGCTGAATTTTAGAGAGGTCTAAAAAACGCTAAGCAAAAGCACAAAGCTTTGGAGCAGAGAGACCCGTAAACTAATACAACTTACAATCCAGTTTTGATATTTTCCATATCTATTGTATGGACTTTTGGGTGTGAGCAGTCGCTGCCCGCTGCCTCTACTACTTCTACAAACCTTGCCCCAAAGAGCCACATTTAATCCCAATCTTAGTCCTCCATTTCTGTTTTTCTCTTTTTAGACATTGATGAGTGTGAAGGGCAGCTTGACGGCGAGTTGCCTTGTGATCACAACTGTCACAACTACCTGGGCGGCTTTTATTGCAGTTGCAAAATTGGCTACCTTCTACACAGGGACAAGAAGACTTGCAAAGGTGAGTTCACTTCCTAAGAATCAGGGAGGATCAAGTGGTGAAAAATTGGCCAGAGTGTGATACCTGAACCTTTTTTTTTTTTTAAATCACCATTTCCCTAATTTGTTTACGCAAGCAGCTGCTTCGCAATTGGAATGTGCTGCAGGTTTCATTGTGATTTAAAACAAGTTAAGCCGACCGAGGACCGTTAGAAACTCTAGAAAAGAGAAACAAATTATAATAGCGATAGTACTTAAGACTTATATACCGCTTCACCGTGCTTAACAGCCCTCTCTAAGCAGGATCGAACTGTTGGCAGTGGGCAGAGTTAGCCTACAATACTGCATTCTAATCACTGGAAGGAAGGAAGGAAGGAAGGAAGGAAGGAAGGAAGGAAGGAAGGAAAATAGCAATAGCACTTAGACTTATATACCGCTTCACAGTGCTTCGCAGCCGTCTTTAAGCAGTTTTAAAGAGTCAGCCTATTGCCCCCAACAATCTGGGTCCTCATTTTACGCACCTCGGAAAGATGGAAGGCTGAGTCAACCTTGAGCCTGGTGAGATTTGAACTGCCAAACTGCAGGCAGCTGGCAGGCAGCAGAAGTAGCCTGCAGTACTGCACTCTAACCACTGCGCCATCACAGCTCATAATTAGCTATGCCACTCAGGAAGGATTATATTCACCAGCGTCGTTTTCTTCCTTTTCCATCTTTCTCGTTCTCCCTTTTCTATTTTCCAGCGTGAAATAAACTTGGCGCTCCCCAGCTTAGGCAGAGATGCTGACAGTGGTGCCACCTGTGGTCTTCTCCTGAAAACCCACGGAGGGCTACAGTCATTCGGCAGCTAGCTCTGCCTTCCGCTTCTCCCATCGTCATCCGCCTCCTGTGGTTAATAAAATGGCTTCCACCCTGTCCCACATCTCTTGCAATGTTTATTTTGCAATGGCACTCTACGCGAGAGGAAACCTAAAGAGGTCACAAGCTGGGCCTGAGAGGACTAGGCGAGGAGGGAAGTCAGGGGTGGGCTTCAAAAATTTTAGCAAGGGGTTATCTGCCCGGATGCTGGGTGGGCGTGGGCATGGTGGGCATGGCCTAGTCAGCCTCCTGCACCACAGCGGGGGGTGGTTTGCCGTCCCTGGGCTCTGGAGACTTTCCTTGAGCCTCTGGGAGGGTGAAAAGACGGCCTCCCCGGGCTCCAAAGGCCCTCTGGAGGCCCGTTTCAGGCCTTCCTGAACTTCCGGTAGGCTGCATGGGGACTCCTGGGAGAGGCGGGGTGGGGTGGGAGGGGCCAGCCAGGAGTGGGATTTGGAGGTTCTCCGAACTGCACAGAATCTTAGCCAGGTTCTCCCGAACCCCCAGCAGCCCCTGAGGGAAGTATGTACAGTCACAACATCATACATGGAAACAGTCTCCTACACAGATCCGGCAGGTTTCTTAGGGGAAAAGGAGGAATCAGATGAGGTTGAAGCAGAATCACAGTAAGCTCCCATGTCACCTGAAGCTTCACGCCAGGGCAGGCAGGTTTTCCTGTCCACCCAAATCTCACCACATTAGTGCTTCCTAGTCCAACCGTACAACACTTAGAAACTGGGCATTTTAAAACAGATGAACAGATAGAGGTTCTGAGCTCTTCCTCCGGGTTTGCTCCACCAACTGCCGAAAGCCTCTCCTTTCCTCAATATATTTTTCTTGAGGAAATAAAGGACTTGGGGAGGAGAGTTGGGGAAGGAAATAATCACAGCGATGCTCCCACCTGCCAACCTGCTTCCTATCATCATCTTTTTTTTTTTTTTAATTTGATTTATATGCCGCCCTTCTCCGGAGACTCAGGGCGGCTTACAATGTGCTCAGCAATAGCCTTCATTCTTTTGTATATTTATACAAAGTCAGCTTATTGCCCCCACAAACTGGGTCCTCAATTTACCTACCTTAGAAAGGATGGAAGGCTGAGTCAACCTTGAGCCTTGACGAGATTCGAACCTGCAGTAATTGCAGGCATCTGGTCTTAATAACCAGCTTAATAACAGGGTGCCTTAGACCACTGTATTACCAAGGCTCTTTATTTAACGACCCCATAATCCCTTGCGGGGTGGAGTCTGGGCAACCGAATGGGGCTAGCAGTATGTTTTACTGGCCGGATGCTCTACCTGTCGCCAGTGCAGAGTTTTGTTCAGCAGATATATTCTCAGTGTGCCCCGAGAAAGAAATATCTGCCTCTACCTAGGACCGAACTCACGACTGTGAGGCGAGAGCTCTACCTCTAGGCCACCACACTACTCCTTCCTATAGGAGCCTAAAGTTCAAAGCAACTCTTGGTTTATTTCACCCGTAAGACCCATCATCTCAAATGAGAGTGAGTTTCTAGTGGGGAATTGACGGGTAAGTTTAGACATTCATAGATTGTTTCAAGCTGAACTGTTCACATTTGGCCCTAACCTGTGACACTTTCTGCCCACCTTACTGCAGGACTTAAGCCATTCTTGTTGGTAAATCAGGGTTTATGCGTCATATAATCTCAGCCAGGGGTGGGCTTCAAAAATTTTAGCAAGGGGTTCTCTCCCTGGTTGCTGGGTGGGTGTAGCCATGGTGGGCGTGGCCTAGTCGGCCTCCTGCACCATGGCAGGGTGTGATTTGCCCTCCAGGGGCTCCGGAGGCAAAAACGCCCTCCCCAGGCTCCGGAGGCCCTCTGGAGGCTGGAAATGGGCCTGTTTCCGGCCTTCCTGAACTTCCGGTAGGCCCGTTTTTCTCCCTCCCCGAGCCTCCGTGGGCGCCCTGCACTTACAGGCTGCATAGGGACTCCTGAAAGGGATGGGACGGGGTGGGCGGGGCCAGCCAGGAGTGGGATTTGGAGGTTGTCCGAACGGCACAGAATCTTAGCTAGAGGTTCTCCCGAACCCCCAGCAGCCCATCCCTAATCTCAGCTCATTCACAGAACCAACCAGTTTCTCCCGACTTTTGTTTTCTACTCGTCGGCCTCGTCCGCATTTTTTACAGTCCATTCAGTAACCAAATTTATGGGCAACTGTTAATTTCAGACCTAATGATCCGGCAATCACACTTTTGCAAGTTGAGATAGGCTCGTTTCTCAGAGTTCAGGTCTCTGGTGGGCACTGCTGTGTAATCTCCAATAAAATATATATATGTATCTATAGGCCTAAGTGTAATTGAATGCTCTCTTGATACTCCTAAAACTCAGCTGGAGTTTATGGCCAAAGACAGAAAAGTGGGGGGAGGAGGAGAAAGGACTGCTTTTGTGCAAGGGATAAGTTTGTGCGCGTGTGTGCGTTCCTACAAAACAGAAATACAGCCTTTGATAAGGAATGCTGAATTAATATTAATGGCTGCTACGCTATGTATTAATTGAACAGTGCCTGTGTGACACCTCTGTCGATGCGGCTCTCTTACCGATGCCCAAACTGTCTAATCATAAATTGAACTGCATTAAATTTTAACGGTCTTACCAGCGCTATCTGAAAAGGTTCAGGGTGCAGGAGGACTAATTCTAGAGCGTTTAAGTTTTTTCCTTTCTTCCATTCTCTGGCATTCCTTAAGGCCGAGATATACAACTTACAGTCTCCAGGGTGGCATGCAACCCCTGACAAACGCCCCCCCCCCTTTTTTTAACCTGTCAGAAGAGAGGAACTTGTAATGGCGCAATTAAACTCACTGTATTTAATTTACATTAAATTTAAATGAAAGGTACCGAGGGGAAATTAGCAGACATTTGTTAGATGGGAAGTCCTGCCTCCGGTTATCAGAGGGAGACACTATGGCAGTAAATATGTCACCAGCAAAAAAGTCATAACAGTGCTGGATTTTTACCACGGAAACTCGTTATTACGTCTCCTATACGTTGCGGTGGCTCAGTGGCTAAAGACGCTGAGCTTGTCGATCGAAAGGTCGGCAGTTCAGCGGTTCGAATCCCTAGCGCCGCATCATGGGGTGAGCTCCCGTGACTTGTCCCAGCTTCTGCCAACCTAGCAGTTCAAAAGCATGTTAAAAAATGCAAGTAGAAAAAATAGGGACTGCCTTTGCTGGGAAGGGAACAGCGTTCCGTGCGCCTTCGGCGTTTTGAGTCATGCCGGCCACATGACCAAGGAGAAGTCTTCAGACAGCGCTGGCTCTTCGGCTTTGAAATGGAGATGAGCACCACTCACTAAAGTCGGGAAGGACTAGCACATATGTTCGAGGGGAACCTTTACTTTTACCTTTATACATCTGGCAACCGTGAACAAAGTTGTTGGGAGAGGATTTGGGTTTTGGGAGCTACAGAAAAGGAAAGAGGGGAATGGCTGCGGCACAAACTGAGCCACGACCAAAAACATTTCATTTCTCTCTGTTGAGAACTGCGTATTCTTCTTTGGTGACGAGTCAAAAGAGGGAAGGGAACAGGAAAGCTTTTTTTCTCCCTCTCCTTCTGCAAGGACAGGTACCACCCAGGCCCATGATGGCGAACCTATGGCATGCATGCCACAGGTGGCACATGGAAGTAATCTCTGTGGGCACGCAAGCCGATGTTGAGGCTCCATTACCTGAGCCTGTGTTATCGGCAGGAGAGGACTCCGAGAGTGAAGGAGAGGAGTTGGCAAGGCCTCCCTCTCCAGGACCCTCCTCTCTGGCAATGCCTTCGGTGTCCTCCGAAAGTCAAGAGATAGGCCCGGGGCCAAGCATGTCCACGCAGCCACAGGTGGACAGTAATGAGGGAGATGAGTCTTGGCTGGATCCTTGGCAGCGTCGCAGAGATAAGCACGCGCAACAGAAGAAGAGGCGTGCCAGGGATTAGGCTGAGTCACTGGACCAGACCCCACAGGGTATAAAAGGGGGTGTGGTGGCCGGTTCAGCTCTGTGACAAGCAAAAAACGGATATCGGACGATATCCGGTTGAATTAAAGTGACGGTTGAATTAAAGTTACCTTCTTTGTATTTACTGGACTTTGTTGATTATTGTGTATTGGCTTTGTTCCCGGACGAAGGGAGAAACTCCCCGCTCGTGAGCAAAGAATACCTGACAGCCAGCCACTGGGTTGCTGCCAATTCTGATACCGGATAAACTGTTGTCGGCTGAGTTCTTTAACTGTTGCCTGTCTGTGGGGGTGCGTGTGTGAGACGGGGACAGAACAGCCGATGCTCAGGTCAGCTCCACCGCGCAACCCTGTGCGCCTCCCCCTAACAGCTGATTTTCAGGTTTCTGCTGGGAGACGGGCACGCATGCATGGGGGGTGGTGTGCGGGCCCCCCCCGCAGCCCGTTTTGGCCTTCCGAAACATGGTGAAGACCTGGCTTTTCTGGCAGGCCTGGGGCCATTGATCTTGCTCTTGAGATCTGGTGAGATCCAGCCATGAATGGTGTGAATGAGTTTTTAATGTTTTTAATTTTTCAACGTCTTTTTATAATGATATTTTTAAATGTATTGTGAGCCGCCCTGAGTCTTCAGAGAGAGGCGGCATATAAATTTAATTAATTAAATTAAATTAAATTAAATTAGTCCCAGGAGGCTTCAGGGAGGCCTACTAGCACCAAAACAGGGGTCACGCACGCATGCACAGGTGGCAGGGGAGCAGAGGGGGGGTCGTGCACGCATGCATGGGAGGGCATGGCCTGCCGGGGGGGCATTGCATTATGGGTGTCGGCACGCACGTTTTCAGCACCCGTGGAAAAAAAGGTTCGCCATCACTGACCCAGGCTGTACACAGAGGGTCACAGGTGCAGACCACTTTATCTCTAGATAAGAAATGATGGAAGGCGCCCGTCCTTATCTTAAAGAGAGGACTTAAAACAGCCCCGTCCCCGTCACTCAAGCTAGACAGTACAAGTAGTCCTTGACATCCGATGACAAATGAGCCCAAAATTTCTGAGAGACCATTTGCTACGTGAGCTTTGTCCCGCTATACGAACTTTCTTGCCACATTTATTTATTGAATTTATATTGAATTTATAAGGGACGGGGTGGCTCAGTGGCTAAAATGCTGAGCTTGTCAATCGAAAGGTCGGCAGTTCAGCGGTTCAAACCCCTAGTGCCGCGGAACGGGGTGAGCTCCCATTATTTGTCCCAGCTTCTGCCAACCTAGCAGTTCGAAAGCACGCAAAAAAAAAAATGCAAGTAGAAAAATAGGGACCACCTTTGGTGGGAAGGGAACAGTGTTCCGTGCGCCTTTGGCGTTGAGTCATGCCGGCCACATGACCACGGAGACGTCTTCGGACAGCGCTGGCTCTTCAGGCTTTGAAACAGAGATGAGCACCGCCCCCAGAGTCGGGAACGACTAGCACGTATGTGCGAGGGGAACCTTTACCTTATTGAATTTATCTATTTATTGAATTTATATTGCCTATTCGCACATGGCAACTCAAGGCGGCTGACAGAATACAAAACCTCAGATAAAAATGTGAATCGCTGCAGCTGTTTAAGTTAGAAACATGGTTGTTAAGTGAATTTGGCTTTCCCCCATCGACTTTGCTTGTCTGAAGGTCGCAAAAGGTAGATCACGTAATACTGCGAGATACTGCGACCGTCGTAAATATGAATTCAGTCGCATCTGCATTTTGATCATGTGACCACGGGGATGCTGCCACGTCCGTTAAGTGTGAAAAACAGTCGACAGTTACTTTGTTTTTTTCAGTACTGTTGTGACTTCGAACGAGCGCTAAACAAGGACCATGGCAAATCAAGGACTCTTTGTGCTTGCTCAGATTAAATGGAACCCTTCAAGCTCCTGTTGAGACAGCTTCCCTACGGAACACTGATGTTTGAATCTCGTTTCTTCTTACATCAGACTAGGATTCGAAATGGTCTTTCGGCTCAAAACTCAAATGTGAACATTGAACTGAATATGTTTTTTTTTTAAAAAAAAACAACAACCAAACATAATTTTTTTCTGAAGAAAGCTTCTATTTTTTTTTCTTCTTCTTCCACCTTCCTTTCAGCGGACTGTCCGATTCAGGTGTTGACAGCAAGAACGGGTGTGATCTCCAGCCCCAATTATCCCAACCCGTATCCTAAAATATCCGAGTGCAGCTATAGCATCCGGGTAGAAGATGGTTTCATGGTCATCCTAGAATTTGTGGGAACCTTTGATGTGGAAGACCATCCAGAAGTGCTGTGTCCCTATGACATCCTGAAGGTCAGTGGGATAAGCTAAGTTAGAGGTCCTCCGTGCTAGAAATCTGGATTTTTCACATAGCTCTATTGAATTCACTGCCGGTAACTAACAAAGAAACTGGCTTCACAAAGCACCCGACATCATGATTTGTTGAATAAGCTATAAATGTCTGGGTTCAAGATATGTTAAGCTCTACATTACAGTTCACAAACACAGTATCTATCTATCTATCTATCTCTATCTAATCTATTCTCTCTCTTTCTAATCTATTCTCCATCCATCCATGTCTAATCTCTCTAATCTATTATCTATCTATATCTATCTATCTATCCATCCATCCATCCATCCATCCATCCCATCCATCCATCCATCTCTATCTAATCTATTCTCTCTCTAATCTATTCTCCATCCATCCATGTCTAATCTCTCTAATCTATTATCTATCTATCTATCTATCTATCTATCTATCTATCTATCTATCTATCTATCTCTATCTAATCTATTCTCTCTCTTTCTAATCTATTCTCCATCCATCCATGTCTAATCTCTCTAATCTATTATCTATCTATATCTATCTATCTATCCATCCATCCATCCATCCATCCATCTCTATCTAATCTATTCTCTCTCTAATCTATTCTCCATCCATGTCTAATCTCTCTATTATCTATCTATCTATCTATCTATCTATTTATCTATCTATCTATCTATCTATCTATCTATCTATCTATCTCTATATAATCTATTCTCTCTCTTTCTAATCTATTCTCCATCCATCCATGTCTAATCTCTCTAATCTATTATCTATCTCTATCTATCTATCTATCCATCCATCCATCCATCCATCCATCCATCTCTATCTAATCTATTCTCTCTCTAATCTATTCTCCATCCATGTCTAATCTCTCTAATCTATTATCTATCTATCTATCTATCTATCTATCTATCTATCTATCTATCTATCTATCTATCTCTATCTAATCTATTCTCTCTCTTTCTAATCTATTCTCCATCCATCCATGTCTAATCTCTCTAATCTATTATCTATCTCTATCTATCTATCTATCCATCCATCCATCCATCCATCCATCATCCATCCATCTCTATCTAATCTATTCTCTCTCTAATCTATTCTCCATCCATGTCTAATCTCTCTAATCTATTATCTATCTATCTATCTATCTATCTATCTATCTATCTATCTATCAATCTATCTATCTCTATCTAATCTATTCTCTCTTTCTAATCTATTCTCCATCCATCCATGTCTAATCTCTCTAATCTATTATCTATCTATATCATCTATCTATCTATCTATCTATCTATCTATCTATCTATCTATCTATCTATCCATCCATCCATCCATCCATCTCTATCTAATCTATTCTCTCTAATCTATTCTCCATCCATCCATGTCTAATCTCTCTAATATATCTATCTATCTATCTATCTATCTATCTATCTATCTATCTATCTATCTCTATCTAATCTATTGTCTCTGTAATCTATTCTCCATCCATCCATGTCTAATCTATTCTCTCTCTCTCTATCATCTATATCTACCTACCTATCATCTCTCTCTCTCTCTCTCTCTTTCTCTTTCTCTCTCTCTCTCCCCTGTTTTCCCCAAAATAAGACATCCCCTGATAATAAGCCCAATTGGGCTTTTGAGCGCTTGGCAATAAGGCCAAGCACTTATTTCAGGGTTCAAAAAAAATATAAGACAGGGTCTTATTTTTGGGGAAACACAGTATCTATCTATCTATCTATCTATCTATCTATCTATCTATCTATCTATCTATCTATCTATCTATCTATCTATCTACATATGTACCCTGCTCTTATCTTGACAAACTCTAGGAATCAAACAGCAAAGCACCAAAGAAACAGAAAAGCTTTAAAACAACTGATAAAAAGGATTTGAAAAGGCAGAAGTAGACAAATGACATGACAATCTAGTATGACGCGTGAAGCCAGTCAATGCCACAAGACACTTTCAAAATGAATTAATATTTACAATATATTTCTATTTCACTCTTGTGAGGTTCTGTCCACAATGATCTGATAACATTTTTCAAAATTTTGCCCAAAAAACTACTTGCCACACGATCATTTAAATTTAAAGGTGCAATCTGAAATCTGAAAGGAGAAATTTCCTGAGAGTTAGAACAATTAATCAGTGGAACAACTTGCCTCCAGAAGTTGCGAATGCTCCAACACTGGACAGTTTTTAAGAAGAGGTTGGATAACCATTTGTCTGAAGTGGTGTAGGGCTTCCTGTCTGAGCAGGGGGTTAGACTAGAAGATCTCCAAGGTCCCTTCCAACTCTGTTATTCTAAAAATTCTAAATAAGTTTAAGATTTGCCTTAAAAAAAAAATGAGAGCACATTTCTCCACACTTTCTAAAGCCATTTCTTTCTGTACTGTAGGATCACACGGAAGGGGGATGCCTATTGAACGACATACCCTAAAATCATATGGTACTTGGGTCACAATGAACTTCACACAATTTCTGCAGCCTCACAACAGGCAAATTCTATTTTGGATGGATTATCTTCAAAACTAACCTATTTAAAATAAGATAAAAGGAAATTAAGAAATAACTGAAGACGTTTCTTTCTTAATCAGTGGCATCAGACAGAGCCAGATGGCAATATCTGGATGTTGGATGCTATAATAAAGCACTTATATTTTGTGGTTCTTTCAGGTGAAGACCCCCAAGAAAGAATACGGGCCGTTCTGTGGAAATTCCCCACCACCCAAAATTGAAACGCGTAGCAATACGGTTGATATCACGTTCGTCACTGACATTTCTGGGGTTCACACCGGATGGAAGCTCAGATATGACACAACAGGTTAGAGGGCTTTGGGGAAAAGACGCGTTCTGCAACATTTTACCACCTTTCTTGGCCCGGTTGTTAAGTGAATCATGCAGTCGTTAAGCTTAGCAAAACGGTCGCTAAGCAAAACTGGCTTTCCCCCATTGACTTTGCTTGTCAGGAGGTCGCAAAAGGGGAATCTGCAACCGTCGTAAAGTATGAATCAGTTGTCAAGCATCAAGAATTGTGATCACGCGACTGTGGGGAATGCTGCAATGGTCGTTAAGCATGAGAAACGGTCACAAGTTGTCTTTTTCAGTGCTGTTGTTAACTTGGAATGGCCACTAAATGTTGTTAAGTCAAGGGCTACCCTTACATACGTCGACCCTCCAAGCAACATTTAGATAGATAGATAGATAGATAGATAGAGAGAGAGAGAGAGAGAGAGAGAGAGAGAGAGAGAGAGAGAGAGAGAGAGAGATGATAGAGATAGATGATAGATAGATAGATAGATAGATAGATAGATAGATAAGATAGATAGATAGGAGAGAGGAAGGAGAAAGATGGATAATAGATTGGATGGATGGATGGATGGATGGATGGATGGATGGATAGATGATAGATAGATATGATAGATAGATATAGACAGATAGAGATGATAGATAGATAGATGATATAGATAGATAGGAGAGAGGATGGAGAAAGATGGATAATAGATTGGATGGATGGATGGATGGCTAGATAGATATGATAGGTAGGTAGGTAGGTAGATAGATAGATAGGAGAGGATGGAGAAAGATGGATAATAGATTACATGGATGGATGGATGGATGGATGGATGGATGGATGGATAGATAGATAGATAGATAGATAGATAGATAGATAGATAGATAGATAGATAGATAGATAGATAGATAGATGCTGAAGCAGTTGGGAGGACTGCAGTGGAGTCGATGATACAGCCCATATGTTACATAGATTAAATTTTCATTCAGGCTAGGAAAACTAGTAGAACAGAAATCCAAAATGTTAAAAGAGTTCTGTAAGAGCCACGAGATGATTTAATTGCATTTAATTGCCAAGGAGCAGGAAATCAGGGCTGGTTTTTATTTATTTAATTTTCTTGTTTTCCAACTCTGCAGCTTTGCCATGTCCCAACCCTCAAGCACCACCCAACGGCCGAATCTCTCCAGTGCAGGCAAAATATATTCTGAAAGACTTCTACAGCCTGTCTTGCAACGTGGGCTACGCGCTTTTGGAAGTGTGTTAATATTTTCACAATTATTATTATTTTTTTTTACTTCTATGGGTTGGCAATTTATACAGATCAGTATAAATTTTAGCTGGGGGGAAACTTGTGCCAAAGCACAAAGCGCTGCGCTGTTATGTGTTTCACACACAGAGGGGAAAACAACGTATTATAAATGCTTTTAATATTGAGCTGTTATTAATCTTTTCTAGTTTTGGTCTTTCTGGTCCGGGGGCTAAGGGACGTCACGTTTTTTTCCCCTTGTTTTTGGAATGATTGCCAACAAAGGCTTTCTCAAATTGCGAGACAAATTCCTCAGTGGTGGAATTCAATTTTTTTTATTATCGGTTCTGTGGGCGTGGCTTGGTGGGTGTGGCAGGGGAAGGATACTGCAAAATCCATTCCCACCCCACTCCTGGGGGGAGGATACTGCAAAATCCCCATTCCCTCCCCACTCCTGGGGAAGAATACTGCAAAATCCCCATTCCCTCCCCACTCCTGGGGAAGAATACTGCAAAATCCCCATTCCCTCCCCACTGCAGGGGAAGGATACTGCAAAATCCCCATTCCCTCCACTGCAGGGGAAGGATACTGCAAAATCCCCATTCCCTCCCATCCCTGGGGAAGAATACTGCAAATCCCCATTCCCTCCCCACTGCAGGGGAAGGATACTGCAAAATCCCTATTCCCTCCCCACTCCAGGGGAAGGATACTGCAAAATCCCCATTCCCTCCACACCCCTGGGGAAGAATACTGCAAAATCCCCATTCCCACCCCACTCCAGGGGAAAGATACTGCAAAATCCCCATTCCCTCCCCACTCCTGGGGAAGGATATTACAAAATCTCCGTTCCCACCCCATTCCAAGGGAAGGATACTGCAAAATCTCCATTCCCTCCCCACTCCAGGGGAAGGATACTGCAAAATCCCCATTCCCTCCCCACTCCTGGGGGAAGGATATTGCAAAGTGTCCATTCCCACACCACTCTGGGGCCAGCCAGAGGTTATATTTGCCGGTTCTCTGAACTACTTAAAATTTCCACCACCATTTCTCCAGAACCTGTCAGAACCTGCTGAATTTTACCCCTGAAACTCCCTGAAATCTTTCATTTTTTTCCTCCCACAGAACAAACTGATTTTGGGATCATTCAAAGCAATCTGTCAAAAGGACGGTACCTGGAACAAGGCAATGGCCCAATGCACCAGTAGGTCTTCGCCCAGAATCCACATGGGATTTGCAGTCCTCAGATATGTTACTTGTTTCTTGTGGAAATCCGTTATCGAGTCTGACAGGACAAAGCTCTCTAATGAAAATTGTGGGAGACAAACTGCATTTGAATCTCAGAATAAAACATTGCCTGCTTTGAAATATTTTCAGCAGAGACCGACCAACTTTTCGCTTTGAATTTACTACAGGGGAGTTAAACGCCAAAAAAAAAAAAAAAAAAAAATTTTTTTTTTTTTAACTTGCTTCTGCTCACCCTCCAATTCTTCTTTTAAAATTGATTTTATGCTCCAGAAGTCATTTGGGAGCCGCTTTTAAGAGGCAGAAATGTAATTTATGTTATTTACAAGCTGAGTAAAAGAATTTGTAAGAATTAAAACAAATGCCTCAGGGTTGCAGATCCCTGATCAGATACTCAAGACTCTAAATTTAAGTCTCAGGAAAAAATTATCTTTGACTTGGGACCAGATTCTTTACTGTCTAGCTTGCCACTATTTTTATCCTGGTGTTTCTTGAAACTCTTGCCTGAGTTCCAGCCCTTCGGACGCTTAATATTTCTTCCTTATCCTTTTCAGTTGTTGACTGCGGCCCTGCCAATGACATAGCCAATGGCACACTCGTATATGTCACCGGAAGAGACATTTCCACCTATCAAGCTGAAATCAAATATAACTGTGAAAGCCCCTTCTACGCCCTGAAAACCGGCCACTCTGGTAAGAGAGAAACCTTTTTGTGACGTAGAAGAGGCCACCTTCAAATTTGCTTGAAAAGGCTTCCTGCGATCCCAGAGGGAGTTTGTGAAAGTTAAGGGAGCTCTTCTGCATTCTAGTTAGCAGGATCTTCACCCGGGACGTTCTATTAATGTTCTTTTTGAACCTTGAAATATTCTGTAATTCTGAAAATCTCTCTGTTGTGGCCTGCCAGTGGGCAGCAAAGCTGGCAGCAGATTCGGACAGTGAGGAGGTTGGGGAGGAATGTGGGCCAGTCCTGGGGGCGAGGGAAAACTCGGACGAGGGCTCTGCAATGGAGGCAGAGAGGGGGCCAAGGCCATCTGGTAGTTCTTTGCTGCCTCCGGAGTCTGACATCAGCGAGGCAGAAGAACAGCAGGAGCCTGTTCCCAGTATGTGCATGCACAGAGCTGCAAGGAGACAGGAACAATTAAGAAAACAGGGTCGACTTGGGAGTAAGGCTTGGAGATGATTGGCTCCTCCCATAAGGCATAAAAGAGGAGCGAACGGGATGTGAGCTTTTGCAGGAAGCACTTAGTTCATCTGGTCGGTAAAAGCTTTGGGAAAGTTTTGTTTGACTCTGTGCTAAGTTTGGCCTTGCCCTGTGTTTGGCAGCTTTCCAAGGGAGATAAGGTGGGTGTTTGTAAACACTCCCCTGCAAGACTGTCTGAGAAGCCTTTCGGACTGGGAATGACAATAATTCCCAGCCATATGAACAAAAGAGGTTTGCCGGGACTAAGATTGTGCTGTACACTTTCTAAGGAAGTCTTAGGTCGGAACACTCTGCCCTTTCATTTGACTGCCTCAGTAGACTTTAAAAAAAGAGAGAGAGCCAACAATCTGGTGTTTAAAAATTAATTCTGCAAACCTGGCAGTTTCACAAAGGCTACTCAGCCCCCTCCCCGGTTGTTCAGATGATTGTGGATTAGCCCATGGAGAAAGAATTTGATAATTTTATGACAATTAAACAGTAAGAAGTGCTCCATTTAGAACAAGTATGCTGGGCTAAACACCAGTGCCTTTTGGGTCTTGCCTTAATTGCTCTGGCATTGTACCATGTTCATGTCTATAGAGTGAAAACTTCTTTTCAACTTAAGGGATTTGTAAAACTGGCGGAACAGGGACACAAGCAGGGTGGGGTGCTGGGGGTTCGGGAGAACCTCTAGCTGAGATTCTGTGCAGTTTGGAGAACTCCCAAATCCCACTCCTGGCTGGCCCTGCCCTGCCCTCCCCAGACTCCCCACGTAGCCCATTTTGGATGCAGGTAAGTGCAGGGCACTCAGGGAGGCTCAGGGAGGCCGAAAACCAGGTCTACCGGAAGGCCGCCAGAGGGCCTCCGGAACCTGGGGAGGCCATTTTCACCCTCCCGGAGGCTCGAAAAAAGCCTCCAGAGGCCGGGGAGGGCAAAAACGCACACACACCCTGCCATGGTGCAGGAGGCCGACTAGGCCACGTCCACCATGGCCACGCCCCCCAGCAACCAGGCAGAGAACCCCTTGCTAAAATTTGTGAAGCCCACCCCTGGACACAAGGATTCTGGTATTGCTATGCACAGAGGCATGAAAGAGGGAGATGTCAGGCGCAAGAAATTGGGAGTCAAGTTTAGGTCCAATATTAGCGCGAGTTTATTTCACGCTACCACTAAACGAGAATCTATACTACTAATAGTCAAGGGAGATTGGCAGTAAAGAGTCCATGGAATTCAAGGAGGGCTGGACTTGTATCTCTTTGTCGATGCCAAAGGACTCTGAACTGATGATGTACTTGACTCCTCCCCTGACTCAGCCTGGTCATCTCCTACAGGAGGTATCAGTAAAACTATGGGATGCAAACTGGGCCCTTCCGGTGAGGGTTAGGACAGTATTTAACACTGGTGGGAAAGAGCTGGTTGCAATTTGAAGTGTAGGTGGCATCTCTCTTTACCAAGACTATACCGTCTACGCAGGTAATTACCGGTGTGCCTCTGATGGTTTCTGGAAGGATCACAAGGGAAACAAAGCACCTCCGGTCTGTGAACCAGGTAATATATATGCAAATGCTCTACAACAGGTACATAAGACAAGGATATGATCTCAGGCAAATGTCACCCTTTCCTTGCTTCGTGCTGCTGATCTGTTCCAAGTGGTACAGAAACAGTTTTCCCTTCCTGACCTGCCAGCTGTGCATAATTGTGTGGATGTGTGTGGGTGTGTAGAATCATAGGTATAAAATAATTTTTTTAAAAAAAATCTCATGCGGATTTTTTTCATATCCATATAATCAAAGATGACCAAAAGCATTTTTTATTCAGCATTAACTATTTCGCTTTTAACTATACAAAAGAAACTATTGTAGGCACTATTCAAGGCTAAAGACAGGTATTACAAGCTTCTGGATGAGAAGTATATCTCTTATTGCAACTTTTTTTTTAAAAAAAAAGTCTCTCTAAGAACTTCTATAGTAGTACAAAATAACCTTTATATTTTGTCTCAACTCAATTTAATTAGCCAAACTGCACAATCGGAGACATATCAAACAACAAAGCCAGTATTAAGACCAGACTGCACCATGTAGTATTACCAATAATAAAGTAGCATTCATATTTGTGAAGATAGTTGAGCCACTCAGCACCTGGGAGATCTCAAAGACTACACATTAAGGAAAAATTTGTATTTCCATAGTTTAAAGCATTGACATACTTATATGGCCTAGATTTGTGACTAAGAAACATGTCTCACATTAAGTGCCTTTAAAGCTACAACAGATGCCAACATGTTACAATGCAGCCTAGCTCTGAACTTTTGTTATGGGAAGAATACTGATAACCACAGAAGCCTCATAACTTAGAGGTCGAAGGTGTTTGGCAAACCTGGCATCCACATTTCAACCACTACCACCCCTCTCTGGAATTCCTTGTTGGGGTGGGGAAGAATAGGAAAGTAAGAGTTTGGGGCACATAATCCAATCCCCACACTTTTCTAGGACTTGTAGACCGAGGCCGAGAGAATCAAATCTCATAAACTAATAACAGTCTGACTCGTATCTCTTTTCTCTTCCTTGCCAGTCTGTGGAGTGCAAACGTCTAACACTTTGAAGCGTATCTTTGGGGGGCAGAAGGCTCTTCCCGGCCAATTCCCTTGGCAGGTTTTAATCACGGACGTGCACGGAGCAAATGGGGCTGGAGCCCTTTTATACGATAACTGGATCTTAACAGCCGCTCACGTCCTGGGCAGCCCACCTGATGCGTCCTCCCTGACTTTGAAATTGGGGCTCCTAAACAAACGTTCCCCTCATTACCACCAAGCCTGGGCAGAATCAGTTTTTGTCCACGGCGGCTTCACAAACGATGGCCTCAATTTTAACAACGACATCGCTTTGATTAAACTGAAACACAAAGTCCCCGTTAACAAAAACATCACTCCGATTTGCTTGCCGGGATACAACCCCGGCTTCCGCGTGAACACAAACGACACTGGAATAATTGCCGGCTGGGGAAAAACGGAACGGGCCCGGCAGTCCCGTTTCTTGTTGTATACCGAGGTAGATGTTGTCGAGCCGAACAAGTGCAAAGCTGCCTACGCAAACCGGACTTTGGGAGGAAGGCAACTCAGTCTGACGGAAAATATGCTCTGCGCAGGAACTGAGATGGGGGGGAAGGATTCTTGCTATGGGGACAGCGGAGGAGCCTTGGTGTTTTACGATACTAAGGCCAGGAGGTGGTTTGTCGGGGGTGTGGTCTCCTGGGGTCTGGAATGTGGTTCTGCTGGGCTCTATGGGGTCTACACAAAGGTGTCCAATTATATGTCATGGATGGGGGACCTAATTGCACGCCATTCTTGATCGGGTTTTGTCGTGTTTTTCAATAAAGCATAGATCACAATTACTTCTGTAGATTTTAATAATGCCCATCTATTAGCCCCCTTGTCCCGCCCCAAGCTAACTGGGTTTTAAGATCCACAGAATCTTTCTCTAAGCTATGCAACCAACGAACTATGCTTTTTAATCAAGGCGAGTTGAAAGATCTGATTCTTTTGTGAATTTCTTATGACCAACCCTCAACTGAAAATTCCACAGGGGCCAGAATTAGGATGACCGTCCATTTTAAATCAGAAAGTTCATTGAAAGAGTCCAGACCAATGTTCACATTTTCCTCCCAAATTATTATTCATTCTATCTATCTATCTATCTATCTATCTATCTATCTATCTATCTATCTATCTATCTATCTACCTATCTACCTACCTACCTACCTACCATATCTATCTATCTATCTAATCTGTCTGGGATGTAGATAGATGGATGAATAGATAAGACAGACGGATATCCCAGTCTTGCTCCCTGCCGCAAACCATCATGGTCATAATTCCCATCTATTCAGTTTTCTCATGTTGTTAAAGCCATCAGTTTTCTTCTACCATAGTCAATTTTAAAGTCCACATCTTTTAACTCCATTGGGGCTAATCTCTTCCCCCTCATTTACATTTACTGAAGCTTATCTTAATGAGATCAACCTAGCATACAAGGAATTCCTTTATTAGTTGGAGGTAGTAGTATTCTCTTTTTATAAACAGGCATCGCTGACAACCGGTGGGGTGGGGGGGGGGGGAGAGAAAGAGTGTCACGTAGCCCACAGGAACGGAGCAAGAGCCCCAGCGGCCCTGCTTATTCAGCTGTTAACAGTTTGGTCTCAACTGCCGAGACCAGAATGCTCCAAAGATTTAATTCACGCCCACACAAATCCAGACTGGAAAAAGGAATTGTCATCATCACATCCATTTGAGTAGCAAAGTCTCAGTAATTAAGAGATGCTCAGCAGGCAACTGAAACACACATTTGCTCACATTGGGCCTCTGTTAAATTACAATGCTGCTTATTACTAAATGAAGCTCATTAGCAAGATAATCCTTCTAGCAGTGGCAAACCGACTGTGTTCCTTATTTCCCTCTTTAAATTGCATTTAGCACAATACATACAAGGGCTGCAGAAAGTTAAAAACAAAGACTCCAGACAATCAAGTTATGAGAATTCTGTTTATTAACTCACTTTCAACACTAACGAAAAAATTAATGATATGAATCATGTTTGAAAACAATTCTAGGATGCTTAGGGATCGGAGGGAGGGGACGTTAAGAGCCCTTAGTGCTTGAAGCAGCATTAAGATGATCACAGCACGGGGAGTCCCCCTTTCTATTCAGAAGTGGCCCTCGGGTTTTATAAATACAAGCTAAAATAAATTACTGAAACCATGCTAGTGAGGTATCAAACTTACCCTCATGATCCTTCCTGGGATGACACAGTTTAGCCTTGGGAGGTCCGAGAAAACCATATTAAGTGTTACTCAGCAGCAGTAGCTGGTGTTAATGCAAGTGCTAAAATGCAAAATTCAGACGGTAGATTTTGGCAATGGATCGGATTTAGGTGAAGTCAAGATTATGCAATGTAAGACTATATGTCCTCCGGAATATTCACAGATCAGTTTTACACCAAGAACCATCTTCTGGCGTAATAAACCAGTTTTGGTACCTAACAACCACGCCCCAATAAGCACCCAGCAAATAGTTTTTAAGAATCCGCCTGCTACACTAATGTCCTTTAAAAGGAAATAGGAAATTTTTTCAGCTGAAATGCAAAGAAAGTCAGGGGAGCTAAAGGAGATTTTAAAGTGTATAAATTTAATGGGACCAAATTGACGGCTCCCATTACCTATCAAATGAAAGTTGTAGGTTTGTATCGAGTAAGGAAAAATATAAGGCCGGTTAACTGTATAACTCATTTAGAGCCAAATGCTTACCAATATTTTTGTTGAACTGTTTACCACATTGAAACGGAGGTTATAAGCATCCTATTCCCAGCAAGGCTGAATGCCCTGAGAACACAATACTACAGGCTCAAGGGTTATTTTGGATTTTTGCTTAGACCCAGGAAATTAAGTGGGGCCTGCTGACCAGGGATGGGGTACTTCATGTGACAGAATTGCATTTCAGTTATGTTTATTGCAAAAGCTATGAAGATAAGACTGGGTCATAGTTTTGGAGTTTCTGCTACATGAGGCAGGCAAACCTAAAAAAATTTTTTTTAAAAAAAAATGTAATTCTTATCCTAAATACTTTAACCAATTAAAAAGCTCTTTTGCTCTTGGGGGGGTGTCAAACACACACACGTATTACTTAAATCAGTTTTATTTAAGAATTTCCTACATTGACAAATCTTATAAAAAAGCATCCAAACACAGAACTTCAGCAAACAGCATTCATATGAATATCTTACAGACAGAAAAACTTCCACCCGCAAGGGAACACCTGAGCTTGCAAGTGAGCTTTGCTGGAGAAAAAAAAAAACCATACACAGAAAGCACACTACGAACTGGATGTTCCCATCAAAAAACCTTCGGTTTCACGTTACCACACTTACAGGATCATTGGAACAAAATAACACACACCATACAGCATTCACAGCAGAGTTGACATAAAGGAGAAAAAAGAAAAAAAAAAAAGATACAGATATTCGTTTCACTTAACACATCCAACTAATTTGGTTAACTAAGTAAAAAGCCCCTCCCCCCCCTTTTTAAAGTTCTTCCAGATCAGATGTCCATTTTGAATGCAAGGAAAAAAAAACATTCGTACGTTCTGCTCCCATCGCTCTCCGCACACTCTCTCACCAAAGCCACAGGATCGAGGGACAATTGCGTCAAGAAAAAAAAAATAGTTTTTTAAAAAAATTTAAAAAAAATCCCATAATGCACCACCAAGTCTCTCTCCGCATGCGCCTCCTTCTTTTTCTCGCACATACCAAGCCCTCACATGCCTTGGCACCACAAATCCAATCCCACACAAGGTTTTCAGAAGTTCAAACAAGCCTTCTGTTTTCCATCTCACAGCCTTGCGTTCACAGCGTTGAGTACGACTCCATGAAATAAAAAGAGGAGCGGATAAAATGGAACACCCACCATCTTTAAGACGTAGTATGTGCAGTGTGATGAAGGAGTCTTGGATGAGGAAAGCATGGAGACAGGAGTATTCCTAAAGCAGATATTTTTTTTTTTATAGATTTATATATAGGTGTTTTTTTGTGTTTTGTGTATTTTTTTTTTTTATAACTGCACTGTTTTCAATGAAGTGCTTCTTCCAGACACATTTGAAATGAGATGAACTGCAAGAACTAAATGAGGTCTCCATACTGTACTTTAGTATGAGAAGGGAGACAGTGTTAAAAGGAAAAAAAGCCGACACCAACATTGCATTCTCCACACAGGACATTTGGGGGAGGGGGAAGGAGAGAAAGAGAGAAAAATTCTTATGGCGGGGGGGATCAAATTAAATTAAAAAAAAAATTAATAAGGATAGGATGCAGTTTCTGAAAAATGGCTTCCATTTTTTTTTTGAAACATGCAAAGATCTCAGCTGACTAGGAAACGAGGAATCCAATCTTTACAAATTCCTATTTAAATTGCAGCACACCCGTTTACCAGTCAGGGAAACAGTTCACGTTCAGCCACTCAATAATCCCAACTCATGTATTCCAACTCATGGTAACAAAACCTATAAAACTTCATTTAATCTTTTTTTCCCCCTTACAAAAGAAAAAAAGTGTCAAAAATACTATCGAAATATACTACACACTGAACAAATTGATTTGGGTTCTTTTTTTTTTTGTTGTTTTGTTTTGTTTTTTTTTCCTTTTAGCATATGCATTTTAGATTATACTTACCAGGAGCTCTAGAAAAAAAAAATTGATTTCCCACCAGAGTCAGTATAAGCCTGCCTACATCCCCCATCCCGATGATTTGGAATCCATGCTTGAACCAAATCCGCCATTAAACCCACTGCTGGAGCCTGTGTTGGAGGAGCCCCACCCTATCGCTGGGCCAGAGTTCGAGCTTCCGTAGGAATTGCTCCCGGAGCTAAACCCTTGGCTCTGCTCCCTCTGCATGTTGCCCTGTGGCTGGTTGTTCCCTGACGGCCCAGACTGGTTTTGCTGGCTAGCAAGCATGCCCATCATCCCCCAGCTGCTTTGCAGCGCGGCCTGGGCAGCCGCCATCATGGCGGGATTGATGCTGAAGGCCCCAAAGTTCATCCCACCTCCCATGTTACTGCCCTGGCTGTTACCCAGTCCGCCGCCTCCACCGCCTCCCCCCCGGTTAGGAAATCCCCCCTGATTCCCAAAGCCTCCTGGATTACCACCAAATCTTCCACCTCTTTCTAGTTGTCTACTGCTATTATGCTTAGGTTCAGCATTGGATATATGGACGCTGATTCCTTTTATGATCAAGTCCTCACCACAAAGGGACTGGGCGACCTGTAAGGAACAAGGAGCAAGGGCTGAGTAATCCCAGGAGCAAAGGAAGAGAGACAACAAATGCACAAAAAGAGCAGCAATGAATACATAGGCTGGTTTGAAGCATTCACAATTACCTGGCCGACTATTAGCATTCCCTCACAACAGTGGAGAACTACTCTCCCTTTCTAAAACAAACAAACAAAGCCAGGACTGTGCAATACTAATTTAACTTGTATTATACTAGATACCCATCCAGCTCAAGTCTGAAACAAGAAACCCATTTCCTCATAAACGCTTCCACTGACGTTTCTAAAAGGAAGCCCATCCCACACAATTACCCCAATTATAGTTCTTAGGCAGCTGATTTTGAAATTGAATCCTGCTTCATACACATGTATAAGTAGCCACCGGCCCAGAAGTCTGTGGCAAGATTAATCAGCTGCCCAGGCAAACAAGAGTTAAAAGAGTTGTTTCTCCTTCATTCTCAAGGGCAAAAATGATTTAACAGCCAGTTTATTTACAAGGTTTGCTTTGTGCCTGTTGTTATTTAAACAGTGGCAATGAAATGGAAGCATCTAATTACACAGTAATACTGAGATACTTTAGATCAAGCTTTCCTGAATGAAACCCTCCCTTAAAATGATTGTGGAGCTGACGGGAATAAAGTATTTAGCAGGATATATGCAATGTATAGGTCTCGTAATTCAAAAGCCAACCGCATTAACATTTAACACACAACGAAATTAAATGGGAATGTTATGAAAACTGCTTAAGGGCAAGGAGGGCACTGGGTGAATACCTGATCATCAGCAAACGTAACAAAGGCAAAAGCTCTGAATGGTTTGGGAATGAAGACATCAACGACTTCTCCATATTGTGAAAAAAACTGACGGAGCTCATCTGCAGTCATGTCTTCAGTGCAACGCCCAACAAACACCTTCCTGCTACGCAGAGGTTCATCTGGACTTTGCTGGTACCAAGGCAGAAGATTTACATTAACATAAAAGAAGAGAGTTACAGAGGCCGTAACCAATAAAGGTTCTCCACACCCCACCCCACCCCACCCACACAATAATGCAGCAACTAGCCAATGAAAAATTTCAAACTCTGAAATTGTCTCTTCTAAAGTTCCAAGTGATATGACACGGAATTTGAAATCGGGAAAACTAAGAAGTGCTTCGCTCCGCCTGAAAAACCCTGTCAAGTCATATGAACACCTGGACCAGTCTGGACTTCTGCCAACTTGTTTCAGAGAACAGAATCTCCGGGCCCAATCGGATTCATAAAGCCCACAAATGTCATCCCGTACCTTAGAATTGGGGAGCTTGCAGTCGCACCATCTTCCGTCGATCATGTGACGCTGAGACATGACTTTTACTTGGGTTTCATAGTCGGTAAATCTTACAAAACCAAACCCCTTTGAGTGGCCAGTTTTGATGTCCTTCTTAACCTAGGTTTAGAAAAGGAAATTATAGGGCCAGAATAGTATTATGTCACTGTATTCACCTTACTTCTAAAGTTAATTTGAAACATGTAATAATAGAAAAAATACTAATGTTCTGTCTCTTAGCTGAAGCTTCCCTTCTGCGTTACAGTCTTTGATGAAAAGCTGCAACAAGATCAGCTCCCTCTCCCTCAAATGCCCCCTCCATTTGGCCTAGAGCAGGGGTCAGCAACCCGCAGCTCTGGAGCCGCATGTGGCTCTTTCATCCCTCTGTTGCGGCTCCGTTGCTGGTTGGCTCCACAATTGATAGGGCTTTCGGTTAGGACAGGTAGAGGAAAAAGGATGCCGCGCTAGGAGGAGACTCTATGGTGAGGGGGGGGGAGGAACTGACTTCCAGTCGACAGAGGTAAAAAGACACCGTGCTAGGAGGAGACTCTCTGGTGGGGGGAACTGACTTCCAGTCGACAGAGGTAAAAAGACACCGTGCTAGGAGGAGACTCTCTGGTGGGGGAACCGGACTTCTGGTCAGCAGAGGAAAAAGGATGCCGTGCTAGGAGACTATGATGGGGGAACCGGACTTCCGGTTGGCTCCAGAATTGAATGGGGGCTTCCAGTTAGGATGTTTGTGGCTCTATGAGTGTTTAAGGTTGCCGACCCCTGGCCTAGAGGGAGTAGAGGCAGGTCTTCCCTGCTGAGTGGGGGCTCCATCTGAGTCCTTCTCCAGCTAAACTAAATTTTCATTCAAACATAGTAAGAACCGCTGTGCAGCTTCAAGAACTAGTGCCAAATACCTGCACCATGAGAACTTCTCCAAACGTGCTGAAATATTCTTTCAGATCTTGCTCTGTCGTTTTCCATGGAAGACCCAAAACTATCAGATCAGAGGTTTTTTGCACTGCTCGTTTCACTTTAACGGCTGATGAAGCATCTGTTTCATCCATTTTCCTCTTGTTGTCTAAGAAACAGCCATGGACACAAACATAGATTATGTTAAATGCAATGTAAGACACCCAAAGTTGCTGGAAGCTGGGCAGCCTATACTTTAGCCAACTATGATTGTTTGTGCAATCAGAGGTTTAGACTGGATTTGGCATTTTTTGACTATTGAGTCCTTCCCAAGGTTATTACATATTATTAAAAATCAGTTAATTTTAGAGCTGTGCACATCTCAATTGTTACTCCAGACAAAGGTATGCTCAATATGAAACTTAATACATTCAACATAATGTTCAATATGCAAAATAATTTGGAAATAAGCTTTTATGCACATATAATCTGTAATATGTATTTAGTTACATGCCAGTAAGCGGGGCCCTACTAAATAACCATACTTATATAACCTCATAATATGAATGCATATGCTGTTAGAATACTACTACTGTATTTGTGGTTTCCCTTCCCAATTATTAAACAGAATAACAGGTTAAATAATTCAGTTGTTTCCACACATGGCTGAAATAAAATGTTTTATGAACTGGTTTAATTTCCAATTATATATTTTATAGTTGATAAGATTTTTTTTAAAGAAAAGAAGAATAGCTTTAAACACATACCTTTGGGATAATTCACCACATATACCAAATTTCCCCAGCCATTATCTGGTGCATGAAGAATTCCTTCCACTAATCGGACTCCTCTCATACACTGAGACACGGGGTTTCTGTAACGCAGGCCACAGGCCCCTGGGAACTGCGCAGTAACTGTGGAGAGTAATACAGTCCCATCATCCTCTGAAGGGATCTCAATGGGTTCCTCGTTCTCATCTTCCGTTACTCGGATGTATTCCGACATCTCCGCCGTGATGTTACTGAAGGGTGAAAAGAAACAGATGAATAAGAAAGCAACATGCAATTTATAAAAAAAGTAATCAGTGGTTTGGCCAGTGGCAGAATCTAAATACTGTTTATCCTACAGAGCTTGAATTGAAAAAGGATAGATTGTAACTAAAAAGATAAGAGCATGCTTCCTGTGGTAAAGGCTGTAAATTCAATCATTGTATCTCTAGTTGGAAGTAATATAGGAGATTGAAAAACTTTAAGAACCTAAAGATCCACCTACAATCAGAATGGACAATATTAAACTGAGTCTGCCTCAGTATTTTATTTTTAGCATTCAGATACATTTGGTATACAAAAACATTCCATTTAAATGATGTAGTACCAAACTACCATTTTAATTCCAACAGTAGCCATTCAGATGCTCATAAATTTTAGATTATATTTACATGCACATTCTAGTTAACCTAATTATAAAGCAGCTACTGTCCTTGCCATCTTGCCAAACTGGCACCCATCAGCCAGCTATTAAAAAAGTAACAGGGTGATTAGCAAATTAATTCCACCAGCGAGGCAGGACACCAGCAATTTTTGACTGGCTTTACTATTCAACTGAACATGTCAAAACAAACAGCAATTTCTGTTTACACTGCAACAGCAAAATTGGTCCCTTTCTCTTACAAAAAATCGTAAGTATTGTGATTTGTTTATTCCGCTTTATCTTGTATTTTTACATTACAAGCTAATAATGTTGCTTACTCTCAAAGAGAACAGAATAAGGTGTGTATGCATATGGATAAATGTATAATTAAAACAACACCCATCTTGTTTTTAACTGTCTATAAGCTGACGCAGTAGTAAGTATGCAGAAAAATTAAATATAAAACCTTTAAAGAAATAAACTTTTAACATGCAATGCTACAAAAAGAATATTATACATAAAATGAGGAATAGCATACAAGTAGTCCTCGACATATGACCATGATGGAGCCCAAAATTTCTGTTGCTAAGCGGGATAGGTGTTAAATGAGTTTTGCCCCATATTACAACCTTTCTTGCCACAGATGTTAAGTGAATCACTGCAAATATTAAGTTAGTAACACAGCTTCCCCATTGCTTTTGCTTCCCCCCCCCCAAAAGGTAATCACATGACCCCGGGACACTGCAACTATCATAAATATGAGTCAGTTGTCAAGCATCTGAATTTTGATCACATGACCATGGGGATGCTGAAAGAGTCATTAAGTGTGAAAAACCATAATGTGTCACTTTTTCTAGTGCTATTATACCTTTGAATAGTCACTAAATGAACTGTTGTAAGTGGAGGACTACTTGTGCTGAAACTGTTTCTGACTCTAAAATGTATTTTAAAACCAAACATGAAGACACATATCCAGTCTTTGGGGATAGGCATTAAAACCCCATTATTAAGAGTTTCATTAGCAATAGCATTAGTATCAGAAATAGAAAGCTGAATACATCTGGAAGGGAAAATGCAGAAAAGTATACAATATCATATTAAACATACTAACGGCAAGTAGAATTGTGATAGCACAAAACTGGAAACAACCAGACACCCCTCCAGATCAAATCATAATAAAAAATATATACAAATGTGCAGAGATGGATAGATTAAATGGTATTCCTGGCTGGAGAGTAAACATAAAATTTAAGGGATGTTTTTGTCATGAGATCAAATTGTAAATAGAAATCAAGATAATTTAAATAAAGATGCAAGTTTAAGATAGAGATATTTAGAAGCAGAATTTGTGTAAAGAGGTTAAATAGATTAGAGATACCGATGCAGAAAAGTTATTAGAATTGAAATTTTGATATGTTTGTTTTTGGTTGTTTATATTTTTTGTTTTGTGTGTGTGTTTTTTTCTTGCTTTTTTGTGTATTATGTTTCTTTTTGTACTGTGTATTTTAATCTTTGGAAATTTAATAAATATTATTTTAAAAAAAGAAAAGAAAGTGGAATACAAAGTTTATATTGGTCCTATAGTTCAAAGACTACCACAAAGGGGATTTATGACTCATTTGTTCCAAAGACTGATTTAGAATAAAATTGTCACTAACCGTATCAATGGAATGAAGATATATAGGTAGTCCTCCACTTACAACATTTCATTTAGTGACCAAAGTTACAGCAGCAATGAAAAAAAAAGTGACTTATGACCCTTTCTCACACTTATGATCTTTGCTGCATCCCTATGGTCATGTGATTTACGTTCAGATGCTTGACAACTGACTCATTTTTATGACAGTTGCAGTGTCCCAGAGTCATGTGATCACCTTTTGCGACCTCCAACGAAGTCAATGGGGAAGCCAGATTCACTTAACAATCAAATTACTAATTTAGCAACTGCAGTGATTCACTGAACAAATGTGGCAAGAGGAGCCATAAAAGGGGGCAAAACTCAACAAATTTCTCACTTAGCAACATAAATCTTGGGCTCAACTGTGGTCCTAAATTGAGGACTATCTGTATTATAGAATGTATGTATTTTCTTGAATTGACTCATCTATCATTCTGGGATGTCATAGCTAATTTCCCCGTCCGGCTGGTAGTACCTAATAGACCACTTACACATTTCTTACTGGATGGCAAGTGCACAACTTTTGAACAATTGCTGATAAAAATTGCTGGATCTAACAGAAATTCAATTACAATCAATTTCTGTTGCAAATGGATTTTCTTGCAAGGTGCCATTTGTTTGTTTACAACTGTAAATACACACTATAATGACAAAAACAGGTACAAATTTAGCCACTCTGGGAGAAAGTTATCCATAAATGTTATCCTGGAAACCAGATTAAATGTTTTCGAAATAATTACGCACAAAATTTCTCTTTTTCTTCCAATTGGTCTATCAAAATTCATTGCCGGTTTTTAGAAACAGTTTCCTTGACTTCTCATGGCTCCATGGTAACATCCACGAAATTTTCTTGGCAGAATACAGAAGTGATTTGTTTATTGCCTTCTTTAGGGAGGGTGTGTTTTTCCCCCCCTTTTACTTCTCAGCCAAAGTGATAAGATCTTAGGATTTCCTGGTGGTCCCCCATCCAAGTTCTTAGTCCGACCTTTATTTACGGTAGGTTTTCAAAATCAGAGGCGGGAGGAAAAGACATAGGTTTGAAAAGTACAGGTTTACAACAGTTCATTTAGTGACCATTCAAAGTTACAACGGCACAACAGTTCATTTAGTGACCATTCGGTTACAATGGTACAACCGTTCATTTAGTGACTATTCAAAGTTACAATGGCACAGCAGTTCATTTAGTGACCATTCAAAGTTACAACGGCAGTTCATTTAGTGACCATTCAAAGTTACAACGGCACAGTTCATTTAGTGACCATTCAAAGTTACAATGGCACAGTTCATTTAGTGACCATTCAAAGTTACAACGGCACAGCAGTTCATTTAGTGACCATTCAAAGTTACGGCAGTTCATTTAGTGACCATTCAAAGTTACAACGGCACAGCAGTTCATTTAGTGACCATTCAAAGTTACAATGGCACAGCAATTCATTTAGTGACCATCCAAAGTTACAATGGCACAACAGTTCATTTAGTGACCATTCAAAGTTACAACGGTGCTGGAAAAAAGTGACTTAGGGCCGTGTTTCATAGTTACGACCGTCGCAGTATCCCCATGGCCATGTGATCAAAAATTAAGGTGCTTGGCAAGTGGTTCGTGTTTACGACCGTTGCTCTCTCTCTCTCTCTCTGTGTGTGTGTGTGTGTGTGTGTGTGAGTGAGTGTAGGGTTGTCACGTGATCCCCCTTTTGCAACCTTCTGACCAAGCAAAAGTCAATTCACTTAACAACCGGGTTACTAACTTTATCAACCGCAGCAGTGGTTCGCTTAACATCTTTGGCAAGGAAGGCCGTAAAACGGGGCAAAAACTCGTTTTGGGAGCCCAACATTTCTGTGGTGTTAAAAGCGAGACGTTTGTTAAGCTTAACACAAACGTCTCGCTTTTAACCACAGAAATTTTGGGCTCCCTTCCCCCCACCCCCACTCTGTTGGTCGTAAGTCGAGGACTGCCTGTACTTGGAAAGGAGGAGCCAGGGGCGCGGCCTGTTTTTTGCTCCAAGACCTTTTGCTCCTCTGAACTACAAGTCTGAACTACAACTCCTCTGAACTACAAGTCCCAGCAACCTCCATTCCTCTCAGCGTCTATCGCAGCATTGGCTGCCAAAGGGAGGAGGGGGAGGGGGGGGCAACGGGAGCCAGCGCCAACTGGAAGGCCTCCCTTTGCCAAAAAAGAAGGCCTCGCTGGCTAAATGGTAGAAATCGTAGTTCCCTCAAACATGGAAGCCTCTCAGCTGGAGAAAGGCGCCTTATCCCGTCCTGCGTGGGGTCGAGGAGCGCGCGCGCGCGAGAGAGAAAGGCCCCTATGCGCCATCGAGGCTCGGCAGGTTTTCAGTCACCTCAGCCTCCGCCTGAGGGGCCCGGTCGCCCTCCAACCGTTGGACTCACCGTTGGCGCGAAGCCTAGGCAATACAGGAAAGAATCGGTTGCGCGACTAGGCCGCGGAGAGGACCTTGGGCAAGCTCCCGGCTGAGGCCTCCAACTCTCCTCGCTGTCGACAAAATGGCGGCGCCCTCTTTTCCCTCAGCAACTGCGGAGCGAAGCCGCGGTCCCAGAACGAGCCGCGCCAAGTCGCTTAGCAGGGGGGACCCCGTGACCTGTCACCGAAGGCTTTTATTATCGCCAAGGGAAAAAAACGTGCTCCGCAGGAGTCCTAGTTCAAAATTCTTTCACTATGATTTCCATTTCGAAGTTTCTCGTATTCCTTTTCCTCGCAAAAGGAGGTAATTTGAAGTCTGCGGCACGGTCCCCCCCTTGATAGAAACCCAGGAGTGGTATGGCCCGCTCGGCCGTGTCATGCGCATGCGTTACAAGGACGATGCGAAGTTAACAGAGGAGAAGGCGTCAGAAGCTCGTTTCAGTAGCGTCTGTTATTTCTGCGCATGCGGGAAGAGGCGGGACCTGGTGACCACGAGCGGGAAAAGGGCGGGAAGCGTTGCGCATGCGCAGTCTCAGAAATGCGGAATACTTTGAATTTCCTTTGTGTCCAAGGGGATTATTTTATGTTTTTGTGCTGCTGTTTTTACAAAAAAACCGAAACCCCTCAAAAACTGTATCCTTAATCCCAAAGTTCCTTCTGAAATGCGTGTTAGACAACCGAAGTTGAGTTTGTAGCGAAATTCTGGGCTATAAAGGCAGGTTTTGCTACTTAGACTCCTCTTTTCCCCTCAGTAATTCTTGCAAAATTCTGAGGGTTTTAGAGGGTTTTAAACTCGCCCTGGGTCGTTCCTACCACCATTGCATTGGAGTGGACCATTGTAGAAGCTTTTATTTCTAATTTAAAATGCTGCACCTGATGCATAAAAAAAGGTGATTATTTACAAAAAACCACATAGTAAATATAAAGGAACCGCATATATCCAAGAGTTACAAGAGCAAACCAGAAAGAAGCCCACAGAATAAGCAGGGTACAAATAAACAATACCCTGTTTTTCTTTCATTTCTTTAAAATACATTTTGCGTGTTGCATTTTCAACATGGGTTCATGTTTTCCCTGCTGAGAAAGTAGCGAAGTAGTAGTAGTAGGGGAAAAAAATGGGACAATTTACTTTAAGGAAAGCTATTGTTTTCTTAACCCTTGAGGTGGCCGTTTTTCAAAAATTAAATACTATGTAACTTGCAGTCTGGTTTAACCTCTCTCTTTATGGCCACATCCAGTATCTAAAACAGTGGTGAAATCCAAATTTTTTTACTACCGGTTCTGTGGGCATGGCTTGGTGGGCGTGGCTTGGCTTGGCTTGGGCATGGCAGAGGAAGGATACTTCAAAATCTCCATTCCCACCCCACTCCAGGGGAAGGATACTGCAAAATCCCCATTCCCACCCCACTCTGGGACCAGCCAGAGGTGGCATTTGCCAGTTCTCCAAACTACTCAAAATTTCTGCTATTGGTTCTTCAGAACCTGTCAGAACCTGCTGGATTTCACCCCTAATCTAAAATTAATCTTTTTTCTAACAAGGAATGTTGTTTACATTGTAGCTAACCAAGATATTTTTGTGACCATGTGCTGAATAACTATGTTGCAGCATACTGAACTATAAACGATGCCTCACAAATTGTAATAGCTCGTTTCACATGTAGTAAGCCAAAACCAACCCAGAGCAGCCATATTGTGACTTTCCCTGATGGGTTAGTACAGTGTTGGAGTGATGTATAAAATACAGGCAAATGAGGCCTGGTAATCAAACCATGGCTTGATGTTTATGTGTGAATCAAATTAGGAGTGAAACTAAACCTCCAAGATCAGGTAGAGGATAATATTTTTGAGATATTACAAATGTCTTAGAAATATTCAAGAGCAGGGCTAAAATTTGGTTTTATTCTATTCCTCCTATTTGCTATTTCTAAACTATCTCATCTGTTTTGGAGAGCATAGTTGTGTCACATAACTTTACACAACGTATTGAAGATATTCTCCGTTTGAAAGCAAGTTGGTCCAAGTTCAGGTTAAAGTTAATATAGTTAATATAATTAACTAGTTAATAATTAATTAGCTAATATAATTAGCAGGAAGAGCAACCAGAGCTCTAGAAATGTCTATCAAACGTTTGACTGGCATAACTTTACGGTGAAATATGAGTCTTTTTACCTGCCAACCAGTGGTGGGATTCAAATTTTTTTACTACCGGTTCTGTGGGTGTGACTTGGTGGGCATGGCAGGGGAAGGATACTGCAAAATCCCCATTTCCTCCCCACTCCAGCGGAAGGATACTGCAAAATCCCCATTTCCTCCCCACTCCAGGGGAAGGTTACTGCAAAATCCTCGTTTCCTCCCAATCAGCTGGGACTTGGGAGGCAGAGAATAGATGGGGGCGGGGCCAGTCAGAGGTGGTATTTACCGGTTCTCCGAACTACTCAAAATTTCTGCTACCGGTTCTCCAGAACTGGTCAGAACCTGCTAACCAACCTCTGTTGCCAACCGTTCTTTTGAAATTGGCATTTATAGTTAGAAGGTGGTGGTACAGTTTAATATCTTCCTATTAAATCTCCTTTCCTTTTAGTAGTAAGAAATTTCTATATACTCTATTAGTCTTCTAACTATCATTTGATTCTCCCATTTAGGGCTAGTGAAACTGGGACTCTTCCTAATCATGTATCTGATAAGAGAAGCTTCAGGGCTCTTCTGCAAAAAAAAAAAAATCCTGTTGGCAACATGCAATCCTTCCTGGAGATAAATGAACCAAGTACAGGTGAAAACTTAGTTCTACACTTTGTCTCTGAAAAAACTATGTGGATTATTTGTTTAGTTTCTGAAGTTGTAAAACGTTGCTAATTGTTGCGATTGCATTTGACTTCCAGTTTATTTTGATTATTTTTCTCTTTAGTTAACATGTTGCAGAAACAATTCTGGTGCAAACAGAAGTGGTCTGAAGACAAAGAAAAGAGATTCTACACAGGTAAGTACTTGAGTACTATGAATATTTACACTTCATTTTGTTCCAGCTTAAAAACAATAACCTTAATATTGTGATTAGCCACAGAAGCCTTCTTGGCTTCTAACTTGCACACACTGCAAAACATTAATTAATTGTTTTAGTCATTTGGAATTCTGGTATGAATCCTACTTTCTTCATTTGTTTCTTCATCAAATGCAGTTTTAAGCCACATAACAACAATAAAAAAAAATATCTTTAGCTTGGCATAACAGCTCAGTTGGGCATATTGATCTTCAAGTATTCCCATGCCATGGCAGTTTAGCAAATGCCCCGTGGAATATAAATCTGCAGCTACTAAATAATATCGTTCCAGTTTTAGTTGCATGTGCTGCCGAAGCGAGCACCAGCTACTAAACATGTTAAGTGTACCCACAACCTAATATGTAACATGGTAAAGTAAATGACTTGTTATCCAGGTAAGTATGCATATGATGTAAGGATTAGCTGCTGATCCTAACAGTTATGACCGAGCAACAAAGAAGCAGAAATGGGTATTGAAATATAGCTATTTGTAAAACAGTTTAGATTCAAATAACTATCTGTTGTGAGATCTTTGACTTTCAAACAAATCTTGGTTTTTCTTCTTTGTCTGAATTGGAGATAACCTGTTTTACTGTGGCTTAATTGATACAATAGAGTGGTTGGCCCTGAAAAACAGATCATTTTTCACTCACATTCCTCCTCTGTTACTCTCTTGCCAAAACCTAGTCTTTTGAAAGACTGTGGCCCTTCCAACCCTTTCATCTGTGCACTTGCTTTAATTATTTTTACAACAGCAGTGTCATGAAAGCTAACAAATCAAACAAAACGTCAAGATGTGGAGACTTTAGAAAGAGTGCAGAGAAGAGCAACAAAGATAATTAGGGGACTGGAGGCTAAAACATATGAAGAACGGTTGCAGGAACTGGGTATGTCTAGTTTAATGAAAAGAAGGACCAGGGGAGACATGATAGCAGTCTTAACAATATCTCAGGGGCTGCCCCAAAGAAGAGGGAGTCAAGCTATTTTCCAAAGCACCTGAGGGCAGGACAAGAAGCAACGGGTGGAAACTGATCAAGGAGAGAAGCAACTTAGAACTAAGGAGAAATTCCCTGACAGTCGGAACAATTAATCAGTGGAACAACTTGCCTCCAGAAGTTGTGAATGCTCCAACACTGGGCAGTTTTTAAGAAGATGTTGGATAACCATTTGTCTGAAGTGGTGTAGGGTTTCCTGCCTAGGCAGGGGGTTGGACTAGAAGACCTCCATGGTCCCTTCCAACTCTGTTATTCTATTCTATTCTATTCTATTCTATTCTATTCTATTCTATTCTATTCTATTCTATTCTATTCTATTCTATTCTATTCTATTCTACCATAGGTAGTATTCTCTGGGCCCTCAAGGCAAGCATCTCAGGTGAGCAGCCCTTGTCCACATTAAGAGCTGAGCTGAGCAGAGCAGAGGTTGGTGCTTGGGACTTCCCCACAGAAGCAAAATAGCATCACAGGTTGCCTGGAGAGATTTCTTGCTTAAAACAGTGTGGCAGGTTGCATCAGCACTTGGGACTTAGGTAAGAAAAATCTGGACAACTGTTAGGTCAGTATTTTTCAACTGTGAGAATTTTAAGATGTGCGGACTTCAGCTCCCCGAATCCTCTGCTGGCTGGGAAATTCTAGGATTCAGAAGTCTGCACATCTTAAAGTTGTCTAGACTGAGAAACACTGTGCTAACTAGCGCCGGAGAGAAACATCTATACAGTGCGTCTCCTTACTGCCACTTAGTGGCTGCTACAGTCCATAGACCTTAGCCTACTTCCACCTGCTGCTTTGTGAAAATGCTGAAGTTCTTCTGTGTATATTTGCTAGCCATGCATTATGCTGTGCCAACCTGGTTCTTTTAAAAATGGAAGGGCCAGCTGGATTCCTTATACCTCTGGCTCCAAAAACAGCTCACCACACCTGCCTTTATTATATATATATCTGCCTATCGAGATGAGGTGGAACGGTTGCTTTCGTGGTGTAGAGACAATAACTTGGTCAACCTTAACACCAATAAGACCAAGGAGCTGATAGTGGACTATAGAAGGAATAGATCAGACATCCAGCCTTGC